CTTTTAGGATTGGAATATTGAAGTTGTATATAGGAATATATTTTTCTTATTCGTTAAAAAAAGACAGCCCATAAAGTAACTTTAAACAATAACAGTAATGAACAGGGTCATATTAACGGCCACAATTTACTTGCCTTAGCCATAAACTTCGATCACTGGCCACCATACGGCGCTGCAGTCAATACTCCGAACGTGTGTAACATTATACAAAACATAAAACTCAGCCAGCAAAAACACTTCTTATTTCTGACGACATATTAAAATGCAGCCGCCTGCTAAGAAGTCGTTTATTATCATTATAGTCAGCTGGTCTGTGCGATTAACAGGCGGCCATAAAGACGACAGTTGGCAGTAGAACCCAGTTAAAAAGTAAGTGAGCAAATCCTTTGAATGTTAACGTTTGTTGACAGTTGTGCGGACAGCCACATATATGTAAAATATGTCTTATGCTAGGCAAGTTTTGAATCTTATTTTAAAAAATGCGAATCTCTAATATGGTCATTTTAAATTCAAGCTTATAAATGAGTATGTAAGTGCTGGTCAATTCAGAAACACTTTATAGTGTATGCATTTATAAATCTGAGATAACGAATTTTACAAGTATTATAAGGGATGGCTTTTCTTATTCGTCTATATATTCATATGTAGGTGGGAGATGTTACTTTAAAACAATTTGTAACAAAATGTGATAGTATCTGACCCAAGCGATTTCAAAGCTACTAGTACAATCCTATTCAATTAATACGCACGCCGCACGCACGCATACACGAAGGCACACACACACGCATATATACTGATACTAAATGAGTTTATGATATCACATATATATGTGTGTATCTCTCTCTCTCTCTCTTTCTCTCTATCTATCTATCTATATATATATATATATATATATATATATATATATATATATATATGCGTATGTGTGCGCTTGTGTATAATGAGTTCTCGATACAATCCATGTTCCAAATTCTGATCTAACATCAAATTTTTAAATAGGAGGATTCCTTCTTGGTCGAGCTGAGAATTTATAAAACTGGACTCTGCCATGTACACATGTACGTATATGTAGTTTATGAGCAGTTTCCTTTAGTAGACCGAGAGCAGTTTTCTCTAATTCCTTAGTATATGAATATGTCAAAAAAAAAGAAAATTAAAAATTTTTCAGTCGAACCCTTTAATAGATGTGTAATGTATAGCAAACTGCAATTCATTTCTTCCACATGTCTTTTGGGATTGGATAATATATATATATATATATATATATATATATATATATATATATATATATATAAGAAATGGACAAGGTCCGACAATTTATTTATTAAAGCCATTTTTATGTTTAACGTTGTTTTTTTATAGATACAAGTATTTAAGTAAATGCTCTGTTTATGATAAACAGTGTTAAATAACATTTACCGGCTTGAATATCCGAGAAATTTTCATAGAAAATATTCGTTCTTTGAACCTGCATCCTATACGGAACCGTCATTTACGCTGACGTGCCTTACCGTTCGGCTACAAAGAATCGTTCGGTAGACAATGTCGAATTTACTGCTTATAAACTTCAATCTTCCATGAATCTCGTACATTCATAACTGCTCTGGCGTATCAAATGTAAACAAATGACGTCATATATTAAGAAATGGACAATGTCCGACAATTTATTTATTAAAGACATTATATCTATAAAAAACAACGTTAAACATAAAAATGAAAATAGTTTATTACATACGAATTAAATCCAGCTGTAGTCGCCACTTTAAGTAAAAATTCGGTAAAAAATGAATTTAGAGGGGATAAATTAACTGCATATTGGCCGATTCCAATGCAAAAAAAAACATTTTCGAGGAGAAAAAAATTAATTCTTTTCTTTAGTCAAATTTAAGAATTTTCTAAAATAAAACCAATCATGCTATTTGTAAATTGTTAGATTTCATCCAGAATTTAGTACGAGTAATACTGAAATTGTTTCTTGGTTGTGCTGAAAATTTTTTAGCGCCCCGTTGTAAGAAGTTGTTTGTGATGCCAAGTTCGTTTTTTTTTTTTTAAATGAAACTGGAATATATTTTATTTTGCGTCGCTTCTCGCGCTTCTATTTTAAGCGCAAGAAGCGACGCAAAATACTGTTTTGGCCTTAATTTATACTAGGATGGAAATAAAAGCTTTTACTACTGATGCATGTGAAACATATTTGTTTATTTCCTATAAGCGAAAAAAGTTGTGATAACGTAAAATGTTTCATCCTTAAATTCAAGCTTAAAAATAAATGCTACTGTCACAAGTATTATACATCTATTCCATCAATGTTGTCAATTAATTCTAGCTCAATCCACCTCAGAAAAGAAAAGACATTTAGCAAATAACACTCACTGTAATAATCGAAAAAAAAAACTTACAGCTATCTTATAATTGATGACCAAGTGATTGAAGTGCCAAATATATATCAAAATATATCTCTTTCTTGGGCTTAAAAACGGAAGTTTGTTTTCGTTTCTGATCACCAGATGTGACGATTACATATAAATCTAAAAATTAAGTAAATCGAGCAGCACCGATAATTGATTAATAAGAATGATTAGTGGAATGATTTGGTAATCTGCGTTATTTGCCGTCAATATGTGCATATTTCTTCGGTATTAAGTATAGGACCCTCTTTCAAAAACCATTCTTGTGTCTTGAATGAATGGCTCGCGAACTCGGCATTAGAACCACTGAATACTGTGAATCGTATACCAGACTTTGTTTACATGCAAATGTAGCTCTCTCTTTGATTGCAACGTTATTTCGTATTATCCGGACTAAAATGAATAAGAACTTTCAAATGCATTTACTCATGTACACACAGGTACATGAACATATAAATGAAATGAACATATAAATAAGTAGCTCAATACACATAAATGCGCGCATATATGTGTATACACATACATTCATACACACACATACATACGCGCACAAAAACACACATATATATACACATACTGCATATATATATATATATATATATATATATATATATATATATATATGTGTGTGTGTGTTTATTAAAGACATTTTTTATGTTTAACGTTGTTTTTTATAGATACAAGTATTTAAGTAAATGCTCTGTTTATAATAAACAGTATTAAATAACATTTACCGGCCTGAATGTCCGAGAAATTTTCATAGAAAATATTCGTCCTTTGACAGGATTCGAACCTGCATCCTATATTCTCGGACATTCAGGCCGGTAAATGTTATTTAATACTGTTTATTATAAACAGAGCAACTTAAATACTTGTATCTATAAAAAGAATGTTAAACATAAAATGTCATATATATATATATATATATATATATATATATATATATATATATATATATATATATATATATATATATATATATATATTTATATATATATTTGAATTTGAAATAATAAAGCTTTGTACCTCTATGAATGATAATACCCCGATGTTTGGGCTATGAGTCTTAGTCTTATCAGAAGCTACACCTTTAATTAAAATTCCCAAGTTTAACATTCGAAGAAGGGATCGGTTACAAACTATTGCAATAAAAACGAGGAAAAAAATACAGAAACTACTTAAAATGAATAGTATACCTTTCCTTTTGCCATTTCCACTGCAGTCTGTTAAATGTATGTCAATCTTTCTCTTGTAGATTATTGTATTCTTTCTCGTCCTCAGTCCCACTAGCATGTGACACAGGAATTACCAGAGTATTTGGCAGTGATGGGGACCAGTGAAACATTACACGATTTAAAGGCGCTTACCATAGCAAGAAACGATCAGACTTATTATTAAGATAATAGTAAATAGTTGTGTCATCGGCATAGATACCAAGATGACATCAGGAAGGTCGTTGATGAAAATTAGGATTAACGTAGATCCAAGGATAGAGTCCAGGGAAACACTGTCATTAATACAAAAATATCTAGAGGTGTTCAAGATCACTTTCATTTTGCGATTTGATAAGAAAGCCTGAATCATTTCCAAAATCCGTCAAAAAATACGATAACCTTTTAACGTGTGAAGAAGATCAGTATACCAAAACTTGTGAAATGCTTTCGAAATGTTCAGAACAACAACCCGAGATTTACAATTCTTATCTAAACCTAGATAGATTCTTTGAGCAATAATCATTAATACATCATCAATTGACCTAGAGAAGCGAAAGCCATATTGCTTGTCTGAAAGAAGACCCTGCGAGGTGAGATACTTAATCAATTTAGAGTTGATTAGTGCCTCTAGTACTTTGCTAAAAAGTGGTAGAAGACTAATAGTCTGACAGTTTGAAGTATCAGACGGTTCACCTGAATTCTTAAAGACTGGAATTAGAAAAGAGAATTTCCAACAAACAGGGAAGTATGAAGCAGCAAGGCATTTATTGTAGAGTTTAGAGAGAACAGGAGCCAGTTCAGGAGCACATGATGATCTTCCGGCCTGGGAAAGGAAAGAAAACGTTTAATCTGTTTTGGATTTTATATCAGCCGAATTCAGTGCGTATATTACAAGAACAAGTATTAATAATAGGTTTTAAAACAATGACACTTAGTAGAATTGTAAAATATGAGAGTAGATCAAGATAGATTGATTTACAGCAAATAGATCGACAAAACGTCTTTAACTAGTTGAGCTTGACAAAACGATTTAGTCTAATCTCTTTAAGCCTAAACAGATTTATGCAGATTAGACTAAATGATTTTCATTCGATCACAAATCGATAAACTACTTATGAGATCATAGACAAGAAAACAAATCAGCATATGCTTTATTCAAGTAGAAACATTTTCAGGCAATTCCTTGCATGTCAGCAAACATTATACTATCTTATATATTATATATAAGATCTCTCATATAGTATGCCATGATACACACTTTCAAAATGTTGAAAAGAATAGATTTGTTTCTGATTAATTATTGTGTTAAGGTTTTAAATTTGAATCTCGGTGTTGCACCAATTTATTCTAACCTGAATATGGACACAAGAAATAATAAATGTTGAAACGTAGATCTACTTTTATTCTGTCGGTTTGCTCTTTGTTTCATAATTTTACATTTATTTTTATTTTCCTGCTTTTCTTCTTTGTCTTTACTCTTTTCTTTATTTTTCATCGATTTTCTGTTTTCTCTTCCTGCTCACTTTTTCTTTTATTTCATTTCCTTCTTTCTTTTTCTTATTGTTACTCCCTACCTTATTCATTTTCCTATTCTTGTCTTCTTTTTTCTTTATTTATTATTCCGTCTTTAATTTTATTTATCATTCTTTTGTTTGTATTTCTCTTGCCTTTCTTTATTTCTATTTTAAGCTCCATTTTCTTTATTTTTTTTCTTTTCTTCATTCTCTTGGTACGCCCCTTTCTAATCCACCTCTCTCTTTTTGTTTTTCGAGATTATTTTGTTTTTACAGATTTTATTCCATATCAAAATATCTATTTTTCTTCCATTGTTTTTAAATTGTTCTCTTTTGTTTTTCTTTTTCTTCTTCTTGCCATCAGTTCAAAATCAAGATTAAGCAAACTTTTATATGACGTGACGTGACAGATAATACGATGTAGACCATAAAATATCGCCATAGAAATTGTTCCATATAGAATTTTATGGACAAGTAGAAATCATTGAATTAAACTAGTTGATTTTTGGTTTTTCCCTTTCCTGAATGTTTTCCCCCATGTATCTTTATCTATGTCCATCTATCTGTATCATCTCAGCCTTGGTTTTCTTTTCTTTCTACCCTTTGTTCTCTCGTTTTCTTTTTTCTTTACTCTCTTTCCCTATTCATCTGTTGGAATTTGAGTGATGAATCGATCATGTGACTTTCAACTAGCAAGCCGTTAGTTCCTGTCGTTTGAGTACAATGATAATATTTTGTCATGACAAGATCATCAGTCGCTTTATAAATATAAACAAATTGAGGTAGGTATATTTAGACTGGAAAGGATTATGAAATTAAATATCGTTTTGTGATTAATTATCGATACGTTGTTGGCTACATCTAATTTTGTCTCCTTGATTTATTTGCTGAAAGCATCGTCTTATTCACAGTATTATCATCGCATTATCACCTGCTGATTGTCTAAATTAACCTTATTTGATGACACCCCACTTGGTACAAGGTAATATTCAGAAGGCATCCGAGACTGTCAAGTAAACTCTGGAGTTTCTTGTATAAGCCTTGGCGTATTTGAATTAACTGCTATGTGATATCTGTCATCCTTTACTGCAGCGAATGTTGGATGGTCTACTCAGAGATGAAGAAGAGACTCAAGGCAGTGTAGGTATGGTTCTACAGAAAGATGCCAAGGATACCATGGACCGAACATGTGAGAAACGATGCGGTTTTAGAGAGGATGCAAATCAAAGAGGAAACTTATACTTAGCATCAAGAAAAAGCAGCTGAAATTTCTGTAATGAGAAATGAAGGCTTAGAAATTCTGATACTTACAGGGTGAATAGAGGGATGGAGAGACAGGGAGAAGAAACGCTTGACATACTTAGCGGGCTTAAGCAAGTGAATAGCAGAAAAGGGTCTGGGAGAAGTAGCAGAAAGACAAACCTTATTGGGGTATAGGAGGAAGTGGAGGGCCATAATGGCATAGGTTCTGAAGAGACACGGCGCATAAAAAAAAGACTTATAAATACAGTAAGGCCCAAAATGAGTACCCTCTTCTTATATTTTTTTCCGAGAAAGTTAATAAATGTAGTAAAGGTTGTATTAATTCTAATAGAACATTATATCAAAACATATATTACCTTTGTAGAGTATCGAAAATATGTTTAGAAAAGCATGAATAATGTGTCATAAAAGTAATTAATTAAAATCAAAGTATGGTCGTCTTTATTTTCTATCACAGGCATCTATCTTGCCGACATTGACAGTAGATTTTCTCAATAACTGGAATGTCTTTTCATTCCGAAAGTTGCATTCTTTTAAATCTCTTGTCAGATGGTCGTCCTTTTTCGCAATTTTCTTTCTGTGCATTCCACAATGTTCAGTTTAATGAAAATCCAGTTGAGTGAAAAGCCAATTACGAATTTTTACCTTTTACACTTTTTCTTCTTTTAGTCAGTACCTTTTCGATTAATACCATGGTAAAAGTTCTTTTTAGTATTTAAATGAGGGTAGCATCTTTTCTTTTTCAGTATATCGTAGTAACCTCCAGCACACATGATAAGGCCATCGCAACACTGGTTGCATAGTATCAGACACACATAAGTTGATTTTTCTATCACATTATTGCAATGTTAACTTTTATCTTTATTCTTCTGTGCAAGCATTTGTTTCCCAATTTCTGTCACGTTTGCCCCCGCAGTCATCGACAATTAGGCCGTACTTGTTTAAAGTGCGTTTGAATGGTGTAAAAAAGAAATTACGGCATACACTTCGCTGATCTCATCACCAATATTAGAAGCTGAAAAATAATGAATCGAATGGTATCATCTTATACAGTCGATGTGGTTGTTTCTGCACACTTCTGGCATTTCCATTTGTGATTTTGCAGAATTTCGGTAACATATCATCGTTCAACTTTCTTCATCTTCAGTAACTCATACCAATCAGTACAGAAAACTCTAAATCGAATGAGATAATTATTGTTAATAATTCACAACTTTTAATATTATTGTTCAATTTATTTAATTAATATTCTTAATTTTATTAAAATGTATAAATATTGTATAACTGATAGTCCGTTTCAATGAAGCAGGATAATATTTTAAAGTTAATTTAAAGTATAGCAATGATCGTAATTTACTTACCACTAACATTTACCCACACTTTCCTGCTACCATGAAAACATCAAAGCATGTTAATAATAATAATGAATTTTTCTGGGCAACCAAGCTTTTACAATATTTTCCACAAAGCAACTTTGTTGACTGTATCAAATGCCTTTGACAAATCAACAAGGACTTGATACAAATACATTCTCTGCTCCACGCATTTTTCCTGTAATTGCCTTACAGAAAAGATTATATCTGTGGTACTCCGGCCAGCTCATCGACATTCTTGAAGCACGTCATTAGCAATATGTTGGAGCATTCGGTTCAACATTATTCAACATTGTGGTAAACTGTCCGAAATATTTGAAGTAAAAAATAGAGTGAAACATGAAGATATTCTACCCTATTTGCTCTTTGCAATGGTGTTTTACATAACATTCAAGAACTGTGATGATTGCGTATATATACACCACTTAATATTAGGAGAATGTTAGCAAAAACGATGGTATCTGTTAAATTTTCACAAAACTTATATACAGACGATTGCGATTTTGTAGCTCATATGAAACGCGTAAAGGACACTTTCAATTAGGTACCTCCAATAATTCGCTAAAAAACAATATAGCATGAGGATAAAAGGACCCCAACTTAATAAAAACAAAGTTTTAACATCAAAATGTTTATGTTTATTAAGAAGAAAGAACGAAGTATTTTTTAATTATTTAAAAAAAATGTTCCTCCTTTCTAACACGTTCTAAATTTGGCTCAAAAATCTCGTTTCTCTTTTGTCAACTTTGTAAGACTTGTGGTAATGGACATTTTTAGTGAAGCTGTTTCCAGTGTAAAACGCATTAGTTTTGAAATTCTTGCAAAAATCAAATAGTTGTCTGATTTTAATGAAACTTTCAGAAAGTATTCAAAAATAAATTAATTTATTTTTGAAATTTTTATTTTTAGAAAATCTGTTAACAATTGTTCCCCACCTTGTAGCTTAATTTCATGAAATTTTCTAGAATTTCAAAGAGTACGAAAATTGTTTTATATTACATATAAGCAGAACTCCTTGGAGAAAGTAAATCATAATTTTTTTTTCACAACAACTTTTTAAAAATCTGCTCCAAATCGTAAAATAAAAACTACAATAAAACTATTTAATTATCTAATTAGATAGGCTTTCATTTGCTTTTATAAATAATATACATTAAGGACATTATTGTCTGAAGAAAAAAAAATTTTCGATGAATAATTAATTTTTACAAGAATTGTTTTCATTTTTCTTTAATTTTTTCAAGAATTGTTTTCACTCTTCTTTAAATTTAAAAAAATATTTTAAAATTCTTTCAAACAGGGTAAGAGGTAGGTTAAGTTATTAATTGAAGACTATATTTACTAAGCGAAAATTAAAACCTTAATACAAATCATACTCCGAAAACTTTTCACCATAATTAAAAATATTTTTTTTGTGCGTCAAAATGTTATATTTTTTTAGCATGGTGTACGTAAGTGATATTGTAGTTTAAAAGGTCACGTGTTTCAAAAAGATGTCCCCTTTTGAATTCCTTGAATAAAGGTTTTTCACTCACAATACTTTCAATTCATCAACCCCTACGTTTACGTTTCAACAGGCTTCTTTTTAAATCTTGAAGGGATGATTTCTAAAGTTTTTTTTTTTCCTATTTCACTAAATATTTTTAAATTTTACTATGTAATTATCTTACTTTATATAGTGTGTTCACTTTTCATAGTTTGTGTCATGCATAATTTGTTTTACTTATTAATTTTTTTACTTAGTTAAGAAAAATAATTTAATTTTTTTTAGTTTATTTTAAATTTCTTTTTTGTGTGTTAAATAAAATAACTTTAACAATTCATGACCATCAATGTATAGCAATTAATAATAAAAAATATAAATATATTATCTCAGTTAGTTAAAAATTTAATAACTGAGAGCGAATTAATAATTTAATTTTTAATTTAATAACTCAGATAATATAATTAAAATTGACCAAGTAAATGGTTAAAGAAATAACAAAACAAGTGTTGCAGATGTATCACATATTAAACACAGAAGAGTATTATACGACTAGTTAAAAAAATTTTTCGGATGACCCAGCGTTCAATCTATTTGAATTTTTTCTTAATAATTCTCTCCTACTAATCTTATAGTAGGCTGAAGAGTCCAACATAAACTCTTTAGTTATCAATTTAAAAATTTAATAATTGAGAGTGAGATAGTTATTAAATTATCTCATTCTCAGTTATTAAATTAAAAATGAAATTGAGATAATAAAATTATCTCATTTATCAGTTTAAACAATTAATAACTGAATGAGATAATTTAATTATTAATCTAATAATAATTTTATTAATTATTTTCTCAGTTATTAAATTAAAAATGTAATAACTTAATGTAATATTAATAATTAATAAAATTATTTATCATTATCTTAGGTATTAAATAATGAAATACCATTATAGCGGTAACTTAATAATGTAAGAAATTTTTGTAGTATTCCAAATTATTATCGGAAACAAAAAAAAATGTTCTTACTTAGAATTATGTCAATTCTAGTGCACCATACTAAACCTTTCAACACATTCAACCATCAAATTATCGATGGAGACGTGAAAATAACAAGACCTCGAGGTCAAGAAATGTTTGTCTAGAAAATGTGATGCTATAAGTAAGTGATATTTGTTTCAGAACAAATTATTTTAACTTTAAATTTGCAATTTTATGAAAGTAACGTTTCAAAAAAGTATATTTTATTTTAGCGGTATTTTCAAAACCGAAATATAAGTTTTATTTACATTTGTCT